TACAGAATTATCTAAATTCTCTATTCATAGATATGGACAAAAATTGTGGTAAAACAATTACGATGAATGGTGATAAATTGCCGGGAACATTCTTTAGTTTCAGTTCAGGTACCTATGCAGAAAATCTCAATTGTACTTTAACAATCAAAGCATCAACATTAAATCAACGTATTATTGTTGTTATTGATAAAATGGATATTGCATGTAATGGTGATAGACTTGTAGTGTATGATGGAAAAATAGATCAAGAAGCAATATTAAATAAAAATCAATCACAACAATGTGGAAGAAGCAAATATTATCTACGTGTACATTAAATCTTTTTTAAACTTATAAAATCTATTTTGTATTATTTTTTTTTGTAGACAGGAATTTCGAATACAGCAATTATTCAGTTCATATCCAATACTGATGGAAAAGATGGAAGCGGCTTCATGATTCTTGTAGCAATCAATTTTCGTTAGTATTAGTTTCATAATTAGTGCATTGATTAAACATGAAATTTTTCTTTTGTTGATAGCCGTCGCTACGTGTTCACGTAGTGATAATTTATATCGGTGTAGAAACAACTACTGTATATCAAATTTATTTAATTGTGATGATCGAAACTGGTGTGGTGATAACAGTCAGTTGTACGTGTGCCGTTGACTTTTATCTAAAGGAATAGATGATTTTTACAAATCAATACAAAGAAAGAAAAAAAGGTGGTGTTTTAAATGTAATGTGCACCACGATTGGTATTCTCTCTTGTTTCTTTTTTTTTGATCGGCAGAATTCTTTTATTTATTGATTTTGTGTACATAACTGGTATTTTATTTCATCCACATCCACACCCTCAAGAAGAACAATCAGAGAGAAATAAGAGACAAAGATAGAATGATTTATGATAAACACAGTAAAAACATAAGAAGATATAGTTGTCTGAAAGAAGAAGAGAAGAGAAACAAACAGCGTTGCATATCAATCACACAAGATGGTACATTTAAAATAACCAGAAGCTACTATCGGAATTTATTATATTGCGTTTATATACGTCGTCTAAATGTTGTGTTCCTACATGTCCAATTTGATTATATCGAAGATATAATGAGGTGAGTGTCTATATAAACAAGTGGAGGTAAAGACGTGATATAGATAAAGAGAGAATGAGAATTACTGTGTTGTGACATAATCCATCACCTAAATGTTGTGCTCCAACATCTCCAATTGGATTTTCCGATAGATCTAATATGGTGAGTGTCTAGATGTAAAAGTAGAGGTATAAACGTCGTATAGACAAAGAGGAAATGAGAGTTACTGTGTTGTGTTTCAATGCATCACCTAAATGTTGTATTCCCTCAGCTCCGATTTGATTTTTTGAGAGGTTTAGCCTTGAAAGTGTCTAGATGTAAAAGTGAAGGTAAATACGTGGTGTAAATAAAGAGAGAGTAAGAGTTACTGTATTATATTTTAATGCATCACTCAAAGATTGTGCTCCAACATCTCCGATTTGGTTTTTTGAGAGATTTAGTCTTGAAAGTGTCTAGATGGAAAAGTGGAGGTAGAGACATATTATAGATAAAAACAGAATGAGAGTTACTGTGTTGTATCGTAATGCATCACCCAAAGATTGTGCTCCAACATCTCCGATTGGATTACCGCAGAGATGTAAGTTCGTTAGTGTCTAGACGATTACGTGATGGTAAAGACATGGTGTAGAGAAAGAGCGAATGAGAGTTACTGTGTTGTGTTTTAATGCATCACCTAAAGATTGTGCTCCCACGTCTCCGATTTGATTGTCCCAGAGATATAGTGTGGTTAGTGTCTAGATGAACAAGTGGAGGTAAGGACGAGGTGTAGATAAAGAGAAAATAAGAGCTACCGTGTTGTGTTTTAATACATCACCCAAAGATTGGGCTCCAATATTTCCGATTGGATTGTGAAAAAAATTTAGTGTGTTTAGTGTCTAGATGAACAAGTGGAGATAAATTCATGGTATAGAAAAAAAGAGAATAGGAATTACTGTGTTGTATTTTAATGCATCACACAAATATTTCGCTGTAGCATCTCCCATATGATTGTACGGGAGGTTTAGTATAGTGAGTGTCTAGATAAAAAAGTGAAGGAAAATGCACGATGCAATTGAAAATACGGAATAGTGGGTCGGCGTTATATTCGGCTAGAGCAGTGAAAAGAATGTTGTTCTCATTCCGTTTCAACGGTTATGAATAGCGGTATGAATATTTATAGGTTATTATATAATGAACATTATACGGTGATAGTTTCTGGAAATCGAGACTGAAAAGAAGTCACCAAGGTGAACTAGACAGAGAAAATTTTGATCTGTGAGTTGGGTGTGGGTGTTCTAAACAAGATCCATTCACACCTTCAACCAAACCCACACCCGTCCTTTAAATAATATTTTTTTGTAGAAATATTCTACCTTGATAGTATAGGTATGAGTAATGTGACAGAATGTGAATGTTGTTGTGAGTCAATCTTCTCTCCATCAACAGTTGCGCATGATCTTAAAGAAGTATTGATCGGAAGTATTTATCATGAAAATATCGAGGACGTTATTTGTAAGAAGATAAACTCGTTTATCTACATTTAGTTCCTTTCAAGAATTGATTTTCTATTATCAATATGGTATTTAAGTAAAAGATGCTAAAATACATATAAAAAGCAAATAACAATGTTTTGTTCTTTATTTTTGTCCTTATCTAAACATTGTGTGTTTATGATATTACACCTAGTTTGGAAGGTGAAATGTTTAGATGAGGTAAGAAAAAAAAAGAATTTTTCTTCGTGAGAAATTAATAACTGATGAATTGGTTTGAGTGGCAAATAGTCTATTCATGTCTATTTTATTTAAGTCGTTCTACTCTATTCGAGATTGTAAGAATGAAAAATAATTCGATGGTCAATAGATAAAAATTAAACTATCTTAATAAAGAAAAGTTTACCTGATATCGATGATAACTATCCATGATCTGGTTAAATCGTTGACATACATTTCTCATCGAGCATAAGATTGTGAGATCGGATTGATGATCTAAAATTCGGTAGACAAGTTCTACAGGTAGCGTAAAAAAGTTGACGGCAGTTTGACTTGTCATTGTTAACTGTTGATAAAATGTTTATTGTGTAGACTTATATGTTGGTTATATATATATATTTTTTTTCTCTATCTTATCATTAAATAAGTGGATATTTGTTTTGTTTCATAGATTTCAGATGATGTTGTAATTACTTGTTGGAAGAAAAAAAACAAAAAAGAATGATATCAACTAGAAAATAGCAGAATCGAGATAACAACTGTAAGCAATGTTTTTGTTAAAATTGTCTTGTCGATGTAGAATGGTACATAATAGACATGAATAGTGTATTCTCGATTAAAATCAGCAAAGGAGAAATGACTTTCTTCGCTATTTATTTTTGTTTAAAATCATATATACATATTTTATAAGATGGGACAGAATTTTTTTATGAAACAATCTCACTGATAAAACTGATATAGTATTGAAGATCGTTGGATTAAAAGTGAAAATTGATTTGTTTCTAGTTCCGAACAAAATTGCAAACAATTCTTATGATATATTTATTAAATGAGAGAATATTTTAATATAAATTTGGATGGAAGTAAAGATTAAATATAGATTTACCTCTACAAGTCTACTTTCAAGATAAATGTTTTTTTATTCAACTACAGAATGCATGTAATTGAAAACCTTTCTTGTAAATTCATCAATTCATATGACGCAAATTAGAGGAATTTTGTACGTGAGTCTTGATAGACCCTTAAATATGAAATCAATTAAAATGTAGAATGTATCTATTTATGGCTTCAGGTGTGGAACAGTTATACACATATAATAATCTCGCATGGTAGGAATTCAAGGGTTACACTGTACACATGGTATATAGAAAAAAGTGTTATACATCAAATGTCACGAAACAATCAATCAGTTTTGTATCCGATAAGTATATACTGTTAACTGTAACACTTATAAGTTGTATCTGAGGCAAAATTACAATAATTTCACGATTCACCCATATACTGAAATATATATAAAATAAAATATTTTAAAATATTCTATATACTTTTTATTCATTATTAGAATTATTTGTTTTTATAAATGAAATTCTCATATTACTTAGACGATTTAGTATGATAATTCAATTCTTATTTTATAAAACAGCAATATAACACGAAGTGTAAATAGAAAGATGGTTATAATAAACTGACGTTGAGGTTTTTTCTGCGTAATATATATTACCTTGAAGCTATCATCTTCTCTTTTCACACGCTTATTAATTATTTGAACGTGTGTTCATTCCTGTTGAGTATTTTCTATCTCTAAAATCCATTCCTCACGTATAACAATTATAGTATTTATTCATTTACAGTTTCTTTTGTAGAAAAAAAAAGATTTTTCTTCTTGTTAAAGGTCTAATAAATATCATTTTACTCGCGTTATATATACCGTTTACTGTGACAATTGACACAAGTTAACATAGAGAAATTTAATAATGAACGTATATTCAATTGAAAAAGGTAAAATAGTTTTTCAGGTTTTCTTGATATTTTTATATCACTGGACAACTATCAACTGCCAACTAAATATTTACGATAGTAAAGAAATAATGAAAATTAATTCTTTACAATATGATTGTTTAAATTATCATATATATTATGAAAAACCAGCTTATCAAGAATTATTGGATGTAGTTGATGAAGTCATTCCATATTGTTTTCGTCCAGAAAATTATCACGAACGATTGTTTGAAAATTCTGTCGATCTGTCTTCTCAAAAACTAAGTTTCGAACAATTACGTTTACGCAGTATCACTTCATTACAACTTCTATCTTGGTCAATTTCGATTGATATTGCTCAACGTTATGAATTCTATTTAAGTGTGTCAGATGCTTCACTGAATGAAGAATTCTATAATTGTACCGAACCGTGGTTTGGTTCCCGATGTCAATATTCATTTGGATTTCATGAACAGATTTCTTTCAATCAGATTGTTGAAGCAACGTTTCGTAGAAGAGTATCATACTTCGAATCATTCGATACGATAATCCAAGTACCCTGCTATGTACTTTTGAAATGTCATCGTAATGGACAACCTTGGTGTCTTGATTGGCGTGAAGTATGCAATGGAATCGTTGATTGTTTTGATGAAGGTTCTGATGAAGAGAATTGCTTTGATATGGAAATCAATGTATGCGAAGAAAATGAATATCGATGTCATAATGGATTATGTATATCAGGCGAACTTTGGGAGGATGGTATCGGTGATGCCGATTGTCTTGATCGATCAGATGAAATATTAGATCTCATGTATAAAGATTTTTGCTTTCAAGATCCGACATTTCATTGTGAAGAGCATTCTTGTAGACCAGATGGAGGTGCATTTGCTTGTGGTGATGGTCAATGTGTCAGAACACTTTCTATGTGTGAGAACAGTCGTCATTTATTACTAATAGAATCCATGAAAAGCAAAGGTAATCTAAAAGATGAATGTTGGATTACTATGGTCTGTCTTACTGAACTAGACACAGAAGTTGATGGAAATTCATGCGAAATATGGCTAATGAATATTTCAATTGTTGCAATTCATGAAGAATGCGATTCGTTTTTCCAATTTCCAACCGTACCAATTCATGCTCCTCATATTCGTTTTTTCTATGAAAATTTTCATTTGAATAGAAGTGTAGATGAATTCTTTTTTCCTGATTATATTTGCTATGATCAACAATTATGTCATCATATGATACCAGATCTAATTCGTGAAAATTTGACTTGTCTAGATGTTTCTGAATTAAAATTGAGAATGACTTATATCATGGAATCTTGGATTGAAATAATAGAAGCAACTGAACAACATTTTCGTCCATGTTTAATTTATCATGTTAGTTATGAAAACAAAACAAAAGATTCTACAATTTATTCATCATTATATCAATGTCAAAACTCATTGAAAGTTATCTCTTCAAGTCGTATCAGGGATAGACAAATAGATTGTTTTCAATTAGATGATGAGACGTATGAACATAGCTGTCAACTTAATGATAAATATCGCGTAAGATGTGGTGAAACTAATACATGTTGGTCTCCTATATTGAAAAACGGAGTTTGTCTATTACATGGTGAATATGGAGTCGTTTCATTTGATCGTTTTTGTAATGGTGTCAAAGAATACTCTTATAATGATCATGATGGTATAAAATATGATGATGAAGAAGGATGTGAAATATGGTTATGTAATAATATGTAT